TCCGTTTCACTTCCATGGTCGCCCCGGATTCCTTGATGGCGTCGTTCCAGCGTCGCCGGGACAACCAGATTCAGGAGCTGGAGCTCCTGTCTATCGCGCTGGGCATGTGCACCTTTGCAGGCATTGCTTTCGCGTGCGACTGCCCGCGCCGGCGGGCAGGTCCGGCCCCTCGCCTTCGCTGCGCTCAGGGGAAGTGCAAGGTTGCGACTTGCATATTTACAGCGACAATACCGGCGCGGAGTCTTGCCTGCGGAAGGGCGCCGCGAAATCCTTCGACCACTCGTGCATCGTCCACTCCATGTGGAGGCGCGCGGTGGAGCTCGACGTTGACCTCGCGGTTTTCCGCGTGCCCACGGCTGTGAATCTGGCCGATTTGCCTTCTCGGCGCGCCCGTGCGCGCCGCGCGGTGCAGCGGGCTGGCCGCGGGCGCAGCGTGTCGCAGGGGGGGCGACGAACTCCTGCCACGCACCGGCGCGGTGCGCACGCGCCCGTGGCTCGACGAAGAATTCTGGCACGCGGATGCCTGGGGCGCTCTCTCTGTGGCCCGCCTCTTCGGCTAAACCGCGCGCCATGTCGCGCCCGGGCGCCATATTGTGCGTCGGGGCGTCGCGATACTTAAGTTTGGGCGCGGCAAAGCGTTCGGCGCGCCGCCGCGCTTGTCATCCTAGGGCCCCGCGTTTTGTCGCAAGCGGAGTGCGCGCGGCCAGTGCCTCAGGCGCGTCGCTCGCATTGTCAGGCGCGCCGCGCGGCATCATGTCGTTATTCGTTGAATTGTGTTCCTTGCGCCCGACAGCGCCCAGGACGGCCGTCGCCTGGGCTGCTGATTTCCTGGCTGAGAACGGCTTCGCACGAGCCTGCGAGCTCGCCAGCGCAGACGCCGCAGACCTGGAAGGTTGGCCGGTCACCGCGCAGGCCAATGTCGAAGTCCTGCACGAATTATTCAGAGCCGCGAAGATTGCTGCGCGCCGAGGCTCGGCTGCGCGAGGGTTTTTGGCGCGCGCGGCCCCCCCCCCCGCCGCGCGTGCGCCTCGCAGGCGCGCCCGTCGCCGTGGGCTCGGCAGTTGGAGGGCGCGCGCCCGCCCGCAGCCGGTCGCCGGCGAGACGCGCGGCGCCGAGCGCCCCGGGGTCACCCCCTGGGCCGCCACAGGCGCGCGTCATCGGCCCCGCGCGCTTGCGCATGCCCGCGCGCCGTGGCTCGCGAGGCGCCCGTCCCGAGCGTCCTCGACCAGCTGGGCGCGCCGGTCGCGCTGCCAATAACGCGCGGGCCCTGGGCGGCGCTCGCCGAGGCCGCTGCTCGCCTCCGCAGTCCGGCGGACGCGGCCCGCTGGCGGGGGGAGGAACGCGTTCGCGCGATGCTGCAACCATGCGCACGGTCGCTCCCAAGCGTGAGAAGCGGCCTCAAATGCTGGGGGGCCTACTGCATCAGAATGTTGAAATACCCGTGCATGCAGCTCCCGCCAGCCTGCGCGGACCTGGTCGCCTGGGGCGCCCTCTTTCGCTGCGGGGAGACGTGCGCAAATTACTGCAGCTACGTTAAGATCGGCTGCCTCCTGACTGGGGTCTGCGTCGCCGTGTTCGACCGCCCCGAGGTCAGGCGTGCGCGCGCCGCCGTCCGGGCGCGGGCCGATTGGACTCCGCGCCCGCGCTTGTTCATCCGTAAGAGCGCGGTCGCCGCGCTGGTCGAGTTGGGCGCGCGCCGCCCCGAGTGGCTCCGCGCGTCGATGCTTTTCCTTTTCGCCTACACGTTCTTGTTGCGTGTTCCCAGCGAGGCGTTGCCGGCCGTGCGCGTGGCCGACGCCGGCGACGCGCCGCCCTTTCAAGCGGCGCTAGTGCTGGGCAAATCGGAGCTCACGCTGCTGCTGCGGCGGCGGAAGAACCGGCCGCAGGGCAGTCGCCTGTCGCGGAAGTGCTGGTGCTCATCGTGCCGCGCCACGTGCCCCGTGCACACCCTGGGCCCCTGGGTGGCGCGTTGCGGGCTGGGCCGCGGGCTCTTCGGAGGCATCTCGGCGGCTGCTGCGCTGCGGACCCTGCGCGAGATGCTCGCTGCCCTCGGTGTCCAGGGGGCGAGCCTGTTTCGGTTGCATGACCTCCGCAGGGGCCACGCCAAGGACCTGCAGGAGGCTGGCGCGACGCTGGCCGAGATTCTCGCGGCCGGGGAGTGGCGGTCCTGCGCTTTCATGGCGTATCTCGACCGTGACGATCTGGAAAGGGGCGCGGTCGTGGAGGCGGGGCCACGCGCCCTCCGCCCGCGCCGCGGCGCGCTGCTCGCGCCAGGCGCACATGCTGGAGTCGGATTCGGACAAGGGTGCCTGCTAGGCGCCGGCGGCCAGCGCCGCCACGTTTCGCTTCTGTGCGTGGGCGGGCGCGCGCGACGGCGCCCGTGCTCTGCCCCCGCGCGTTCGGCAGCGGGTGGGCGCGCGTTGCCGGCCCGTGTCGCCTGCGTGCCGTGTGGCATTGGGTCTGCACGCAGGCGTGGCGCGAGGCCGCCCAAGCGGCGGTGCGTCGGGCCTGGGCCCGTCGCAGCCGCCCGCGGGGGGCAGCCTCGCGCCGCGCCGCTCCCACCGACGGCGGCAGCAGGCGGGGTCGAGGCCCTGCACGCGCGGCTCGATTTGTGGTAGGCCCACGGCGGCAAGTCCGCTCGCAGACGCGGACGTTCACCGTTGTGGGCGGGCACAAATCGGCCACGGTTGCGCGTAGGTCGCGCGCGCGGCAGTGCGACGCGACCGCGGCCTCGCTGCGCAGGCGCGGGCCATCGCGCCGTCGCGCGCCAGGGTTGCGCGTCGCGGGGGGGGGGGTCGCTGCCCCGCGGCGCGTGCGCTTCGCAGGTGATTTGCTAGCGCCGGGGTTGCGTCGCCGCGGGGGGGGGTCGCTGCCCCCGCGGCGCGTGCGCTTCGCAGGCGATTTGCATTTGGAGGAGGCGCCGCGCGCGCGCCCCGCGCGCGCGCGCGGCGGGTGCCTCCCTGGCGCGCGTTCTTTCTCCCACCCTCCGCCCTGTCTGCTGCGCGCAGGCGTGGCGCGAGGCCGCCCAAGCGGCGGTGCGTCGGGCCTGGGCCCGTCGCAGCCGCCCGCGGGGGGCAGTCTCGCGCCGCGCCGCTCCCACCGTCGGCGGCAGCAGGCGGGGTCGAGGCCCTGCGCGCGCGGCTCGATTTGTGGTAGTAGTGGTAGTAGTGGTAGTAGTAGTGGTAGTAGTAGTGGTAGTAGTAGTAGTAGTAGTAGTAGTAGTCGTAGTAGAAGTATCGTCGAGTAGAGTAGTAGTATGTAGAATAGTAGTAGTAGTAAATTCGTAGTAGTAGTAGTGTAAGATAGTATAGTGAGTAAGTATAGTAGTAGTAGTAGTAGTAGTCGTCCGTCGTCCTAATGTATACTATTAGCATCGGTTGTAGTAGCAGTAGCAATCGTGGCGTAATTTGTCGTAGTAGTAGTACACAGTCAGTAGTAGACGTAGTCGTAGTCGTATAGTAGTAGTAGTATTAGTAGTAGTAGTAGAGAGTAGTACTAGTAAATTAGTAGTAGTAGTAGTAATAGTAGTAGTAGTGAGTAGTCGTAGTGTAGTAGTAGACTAAATTATTTGTTGTTGTTGTTGTAATATCCAGTATAGTAATAGGAGGTAGTAACAGTAGTAGGAGTAGTAGTGGTAGTGGTAGTAGTAGTAATAGTAGTAGTAGTAGAAGTAGTAGTAGTAGTAGTAGTAGTGGTAGTGGTAGTCGTAGTAGTAGTAGTAGTAGTAGTAGCAGCACTAGTAGTAGTAGTAGTAGTAGTAGTAGTAGTAGTAGTAGTACGGGCACTCGCCGTAGTTGCTGCAGTGGCGGTAACACGCGGAGTAATAACAGTAGTCGCAGTAGTAGTCTTAGTGGTAGTAGTAGTAGTAGTCGTAGTAGTAGTAGTAGTAGTAGTAGTAGTAGTAGTAGTAGCAGTAGACAAGCAGTAGAAGCAATAGTAGTAGTCTGTAGTAGTAGTAGTAGTAGTAGTAGTAGCAGTAGTAGTAGTAGTAGTAGTAGTAGTAGAAGTAGTAGTAGTAGTAGTAGTAGTGGTAGTAGTAGTAGTAGTACTAGTAGCAGTCGTAGTCGTAGCCGTAGTAGTAATCGTAGTGGTGGCAGTAGTAGTAGTAGTAGTAGTAGTAGTAGTAGTAGTAGTAGTAGTAGTAGTGGTAGTAGTAGTAGTAGTAGTAGCAGCAGTAGTCGTAGTCGTAGTCGTAGTCGTAGTCGTAGTCGTAGTCGTAGTCGTAGCACTAGTTGTACAAGTATTATCAGCCAGAAGTTTGCGCGGACCTGAACTGCACTGCGCTCGGGGGAGGGGGCAGAAAACAGCGTCGTGATCGTCGTCCCCGCCGTCGCTTCGACTGTCAGTGCGCACGGTTGAATTAGCTGACGAGCTCCACGCTGCAGGTGCGGTCGCGACCAACGGAGCATGGCCGGACACGTCGCGCGTGGGTGGGCGGGATGTTTGCGCGAGCGCGGGAGGTGCTCAGCCGCGGCGGCCCGACGCGCCCCCCGCGCGCGGTTGCTTTGGCGACCGCGTGAATTTCGCCTACCAAGTCGCGCATGGGTGGTGCTAGTGGCACTGCATGGGTGCAATGACGCATTGTTCGGGGCCCACCCGTGCGTACATATGCGACGGCCAAGCCTCGTCAAACAGATACAGAGATTGAAGTAGAAATCCTGGAGCACGACGCTTTCGCGGGCACCTGTCCGAAACCTTTTTTTTCAACATTGAGGGGTCGGGATAGGTTTATGGACAACACCGCGTCCGACCCAACAGGCATTCGTCAGCATTGGAGTAGCGCTGATCCCACAATCACCGAATTCAGAAGTATTCTGTCTATGTGTGATGAGGCTTGTAGTAGCAGTAGCACCAGTCGTCGAGGTGCAGTGGTGGTAGTAGAAGTCGTCGTCGCAGTCCCCGTGCGAATTGTGGTAGTGGTAACCGTAGTAGTAGTAGTAGTAGTAGTAGTAGTAGTAGTAGTAGTAGTAGTAGTAGTAGTAGTAGTAGTAGTAGTAGTA